ATTGTGTACATGTTTGTCAAAACACCATAGATATGATCCGGAAGCACAAGGAGAGTACCTTCTATTGTGCGTCAGTTTATATCTTGCTGGGCCGACAGTCAGTATCCTAATGATTTTAGAAAGAATGCACCTGGTGTTCACCAGAATATATTTCTGCTGCAGGGGGGTATTCATTTCGTTACAGTTCGATTCCAATCACAAATTAAATGATCAAAAAAACAAAACAATTCTGTTATGCAGTCACGCAAAAAACACCATAAGAGCGGATTCCAAATTTAGTGAGCGGTGTGTGGTACGGGTGAGGCTGGACACGCTTTCGTATCGCTAACGGGTGAAGCCCATCTCTAGATCTGGTGTCCACTCTCCATCTGGAATATTGCTAAAAACGGCGTAAAACTAATCTCACTCTTATCGCTAACACCCTGAGTTTCAGTTATCAGTGTAATTGTACCGACGTGTTGCCTACGAAATCTGGTTCAACACATGATCGTGCCGGGCGTTGAAAGTGTATATCTTCACGAGTGTCATGCTAAACACTATTTCAATTACAAAGCGTTCACTGCAATGTGATACCACAAAAACTTAAATATATGTAGTCAGGTTTCGAGTATGCGAGTATGTTTTTAAGTCGCTGTTTGCAATATTCCAGCATTATCACGTACATTAATGATCTTATTGTTACAATTAAATTTTTTCCGTTTAATGGTAGTACTGTTGGTATATTAGCATATGCAGATGATATTGTTTTAATTGCTGCGTGTGAGAATGATCTTAATGTGATGCTTGAATGTCTGCATAACTGGACTGTTTGTAACAAAATGACAGTTAATTGCTCCTAGTCCAAGGTTATCCATTTTAGGGGAGCTTCTGTTGTCAGAACTGACGTTTTACTTTTTTGTGGTGATATGCAATTAGAAGTTGTTGACAGTTATACGTATTTAGGTCTGCTGTATCAGAACATGTAGATTATGGTCTCATGGCTAAAGCGGTAGCGAGTTCAGCTAGCAGGGCTTTAGGTTTACTTATAACCAAGTATTAGCTTTTAGGCGGTATGCAATTTCAAACTTACTCTAAGTTATATCACTCTATGGCATGGGCTACTATTGATTATGGTTGTGCAATATTGGGTACTTATAGTTTCTCCTGTATTAATGCTGTTCATAACAGAGCTATGCGGTGTTTTTCTGGGTCTGCGTAAGTTTGCTCCTAATAATGCTGTTATCGGAGATATGGGCTGGTACCCTACAGTTGTAAATCAGTGGAGGAGTGTGTCGAGGTTTTTCAGACGTCTCTGTCATTTAGAGCTTAATCGAGTTACAAGTAAGATATTTGGATGGAGTCATGATTTAGCGTTAAGATATAAGCGGAATTGGAATTTTAGAGTTTGTAAGAAGTTGTCGGCTTTAAAACTGGATCATTTTAAGGATATCAACGTTGTGTACCATATTCCTTTTGTACTTTCAAAAGTTACAGAGGTTGTTTTTAGCGACTTCGTTTATAAATGGAAACAGGACCTTTTACATGTTGGTAGTGTAACTGGTAGGGGAGGTAATAAGTTACGCTCGTACTGTACTTTTAAGTTGGATTTTGGCAGTGAATTTTATGTTAATTGTAATATGTCGCGTTCTATGAGAAAAGCACTAGCTTTGTTCATAAACTGGCCGTTACGTTGGTTGTGCTTTAACTGAAAGAATTTGCTTTTACTGTAAAGATTTTATTGAAGATGAGTGTCATGTTTTATTGCATTGTCATTTGTATGCTGAGGAGCGAGGAACTTTTATCTAAATGTACAAGTCTTTTAGATTTTTTTTTTAAATCTGGGGGATGTTGAAAAAGTTAGTTTTATTCTATCTTGTCCAGATGTATCGTGTTTATCCGCCCAAACCTGCCTTAATATTCTTAAAAAGCGCACTGCAAATTTGTATATATCTTCTTAATGTAAATTGTACTCTCTATTTTTTGTATTTGTAATATTCACATATTATACTCTGTATAGTTTTTTAGCTCAAGTGTCTCACATAATTCCATATGGAATGGCTCAACTTTTTACGGTGATATTGTGTTTATGTACTTAGCTGTTTTTGTACCATGTTGAGGCGAGACGTAAATAAACATCTATCTATCTATCTATCTATCTATCTATCTATCTATCTATCTATCTATCTATCTATCTATCTATCTATCTATCTATCTATCTATCTATCTATCTATCTATCTATCTATCTATCTATCTATCTATCTATCTATCTATCTATCTATCTATCTATCTATCTATCACGGCGGGGGACACCAGAAATGGTCTTGACACATTGTACTCACGTGGGAGTCAGGTTTCCAAACCGCGCACCTTATACTGGCGGTGAGGCTGTCAGCCAATGAGATTGTCACACGTGTTGACAGCGCTTTCCAAGAACTGACACTGGCCCGTAACTGTACACCTAGCCACATAATTAAGCTACAAAATAAATTAACATTACACCTGACAGTGCATATTATTCACAATGACAATCTGGCGGAGCTAAGCACTCTCAGTGTTAAGCGTATATACAGAATGACGGTCAGGTGGGAGAGGGAACGTTTTGCATTCCACACGCCACTCGGGTGTCTTGCAGAGTGGGTGAGTGAGTATGGTTTTACGCCGCTTTTGAGAATATTTCAGCAATATCCCAAGGGACATCAGATTGGGCTTCACATGCACCCAGTGTGAATCGGGGTGATTCGAACCCGGTTTCTGGCGTGTGGAGCGAACGATCTAACCACTAGGCTACATCAGCTGTCACTAGGAAATAAATACATATGGATAATTACAAGTGGTTTCAAAGAAAGAATATGTTTCACCGTTTCTTCATCATCATGCAGATCTATTACGTGTGTACAAGAGTAGTCAGAGAGTGGGTATGGCACCAAACCTTCTGCAGGGCGGTCGGGTAGCCTAATGGTTAAAGTGTCCACGACCCGGGTTCGATTCCCTACATGGGTACAATGTGTGGAGCCTAATTCTGGTGTCCCCTTCTGTTGTATTACTGGAATATTGCTAAAAGCGGCGCAAAACCATACTCACACCCATTCATGTAAGCCGTTTGCAAGCAATATTCCCTCCTAATCACTGGGGACGCCGGAAACTATTGTACCCTTGTTGGGATTTGAACTCGGGTCGTTGGCGTTACGAATGAGCACTTGAACCATTAGGCTACCGCTCTTCAACAGTAAATCGCATGATTCTGAGAGAGAGAGAGAGAGAGAGAGAGAGAGAGAGAGAGAGAGAGAGAGAGAGAGAGAGAGAGAGAGAGAGAGAGAGAGAGAGAGAGAGAGAGAGAGAGAGAGAGAGAGAGAGAGAGAGAGAGAGAGAGAGAGAGAGAGCCAATTTGTGTTGATGAAAAATAAGCCCAGCCATATAGCATCATACTTTATTTTGAAGCTTCTTCGTGAGATCTGTCATAAATAGATTTACATGCATACAGGAACAGGAAGCCATTCGCATGCTGACTTACTTGACAAAGAATCAAATAGTAAACGTCATTGCAAACGAACTCCAAGTCTCCAGAAACAATTCGTTTTAAAATTAGCTGTGGAAACTGTGATTGGATCACTGAAAATCGCTAATGACACCAGGTGTTCGCTAAAAGGGTAAGGACCGGTACCGCCCGTCACATTATGTACTTTCGGCTATTCACAGTTTATAATAATTTTTCCATAATTTACTGTTTTGTATCACACGTGTATGTATAGGACACGCAACCGTATCCACAGCCTCAACGATATCACCGTCTCACCACACATCGTAGCAGCACCACTGTAGGTCTGTAAGCTCTGAACATTCTTATATAGTTTCTCAGGATACCACGTTATGGTGAGGTTTGACTAACCAAATATATACAATGTACAGTTCCATTTGTACGCATCATATCACATAATTTTACAATATTACAGTTCAATATTTACATGTCTTCATGTCCAGCAAAATGCCATACACCAATATCAGCATATGACGGCTGTTGGATCGCAAGTACCGCAGCGCGCCAAGCGGTCAAGGGGGACGTAACTCCAGGAATGATCCCATTGCCGAAGTTGCAAGTCAATGGGTGTTTATTTATAATACAGATTTATACATTGTACCTGTACAAGTTGTACAGGTCGTTGATATATGATGCATACATGCTATCCTCCTGTCAGGAATTTGTTTTAGTTGTTTAGTAATGATAATAAGAATAAATTAGTTATAGTGTTGTGATAAATATATCCTGTTTATGTGCATATTGCATGCTATGCACTCAGTTCTAAATATTTCATTCACACATTCGTGACTCTCATTATTGTGATTTAACACTGTCCGAGTTGACAGTCAATTGTATAGGTACACAAATACAAACATATGGTATTTACCATAACGTTGGCGCTTTTTGCTTCTTGTTAAACTATTGCACGGTAGAATAGTGTACATATCCTTCATAAGAGCAAAAGCGACAAAACGTCTTTCGACTCATCCAATTCATATCCTAAGCAACCGATATCCCATGAAATATTTCTATAGAATTAATAGAAATGATACATGGACTATGTCACCAAGTTAAACATCCTTCCAAACATTCATTCTTACTCAAGCAATGCTTAACATTCAGGTTTAACACTCATAAACACACAAAACATGGACTAGAAGTCGTCAGGATTATAGAGAACCTCGGTTAGGAACACCAAGCAAGGCCCTAGGCATCGCTTTCTATGACAAAGATACACTCAAACATACATTGTAGTTGTGGCGACTACGTGAACTCAAAATAGAAGCAGAGGCCGTGTACATTCCTTGTTCAGTCATCATTTTCCAGTTGTGTAGAACCTCGGATAACTCGAAGCATTCTAATAACAACTGTGTTTGTCTGTATTATAGAATCTCCTCATCACCAAAATCACAAGTCAAACATGTCGCCTGCTTCGTTCTTGTTAGTAGTTCTAACGTCATGACAGTTGAAGTGTTCAGCCATACCAGTCCCAATTTATACATTCCATCATAATTACTCCAATAGCCTCTCATGCAGTCTCAAAAACAGTTCTTGGGATTTTCAAGTGTACCTCAAGATCGAAATCCTAAAGAAGCATTTGTTGCCCACAAAGCACTCGGTCTCCTTGGTCCTCCATGACATCTTACGAAATCCAAGGACTTGAAAGCATCTTCATCTTCAAGATAACGGGTGAAATGGCCAATTTCAGCCACTGATAGTCTTTCATTGGCACCCACAACGACACACCCGTACATCAGCTCAAAGAGAGCCTTTGACGTATCTCGATCAGGCATCACTAACATGGTGGCTGGATTTAACTGCTCGATGAAGTCTGCCAAGGACATCGATCGCTGAGTCTTGTATGGTCTGTTTGGTTGCATGATTTCGTAGATCAACAGGCCGAAACTGTACACATCTGCTTCCTTGGTGTACAGCTCTCCACGGAGGACCTCCGGGCTCAGGCAGGTGAAGTCACCAGCTTGTATAACGTCTCGATCCTCCGGGAACTTAGCTTGACGTGGTAGGCACATGTTGCTTAGTTTAACATCTCCAGAGGAATTCACCTGTTAATAAAAACCAACCATTATTCTATACGTAATATACTCGCTGTCATGTTTGTTTAGGCTTCACTGTTATCCAACAATTTCCCCCTTTTGAAAACAAACAAAACTTATAACTTAAAGGTTTGATATCAACTCAACAACCGATCTGCTTAAAGAAATGTGTATAAACTGAGTGTATTTTCCACACAGAATGAATTAAAGTCTTCTGATGGGAACATATCTGAATTATGCCGATAATTCATGCTCAGTCGTCACGTCCATGGAAATTGAATTGACAAAGTGAAGATTATCTACCTTTAGGATGATTTGTAAAAAATACTTGTCCAACATGACGACTATTTCAGCACCAAGCAGGTATTACGTTCTGTTCCAGAAAGTCCACCCAAAACCCCCTCCAAGCCACAGGCAAACCCCCCATCCACACCTAAAGAAGACCCCACAGGAGTAGTCTACCAGATCAATTGCCAATGTGGAGACTCTTATATAGGTGGAAAGTCCCGCCCTCTCCCACTACAAATTAAAGAACACATTACTTCAGTCCAGAAGAAAGACTCCAAATCCGCCATAGCCGACCACACCCAAGCCAACCCTGACCATGCCATCTTTTGGAGCAACAATAATGAAGTTGACTATCTTTGAACTTTGTTTTCCTTCATCTATACAACTTCTAAAATGCCTCTCAAAGAAAGAACATGACAAACGTTTTCGTACCATGACTGTGTCAGCGCTGAGTTCCATGTGCACCAGTCCATTCGCATGGATGTTCTCAAGTCCCTCGACAATGCCATTCAGCAGCATGGGAACAACATCCTTCAGTTTGTAGGGGCACCCGGTGTCTGTGATTGGCCTTGTCAGGTATGTTTTTGCTGGAGAGAGGGTGTCAAGAAAGATGAAGGCAGCCAGAGACTCAACACGAGTCATTCCAATGAATGTGGCAATTGATGAACTGCTGTCCAGGCATCTGAAAACGTCAATGGTTAGGTAAACAACAGTGTTGGTTCAAATTTGTACACTGTACCTTAGTTTTATGTGAAAATGTATTGAGTAATGATGGTCAAGTACAAATTGAAAGGTTGAATCATATGAAAGGCTGTAGAGGGGACTGACCGTTTGGTTTTTTATATATTTTTGTAAAAAAGACCCCACCAAGTTTCACCAACTCGCTTAATTTGCAAAACAAACAAATTATCACCTAAGCTTTGCGATCTCCCTGAAGAGGTTATCATCTGCAGGCTGTTGGATATAGTATTTAGTGGTGATGGACTCGGAAGTATCATCTATAGAAAGAGTGCCCTTCTGAAATCGTGACCACAACACCTGTGACACGAACACCGGCTTTTCATCTCCATCTCGGCTGTCGCCGAAGTCCACTTTTACTGTCGTAGAATTGCGGATTCTAGGGTCATCAAACTGCATCATAATGTCATCTGGCATGATTTCTTTGACGTACATGTAACCAAATCCCCTCACACGTTCCTTCTGCATTTCCAGATCCTCCATTGTCTTCTGAAGGTCGTTCTTCGTGAGCTGAGTTCTCGAACCAAGATCGGTGATCTCGACAATCAGTGCTTCAATGTTTTTCACAAACTTTGGAACATGGAGCGCGACCCTGTCTATTTCTTTCACAATCCTCCCTGTGTATCTGCTTATCAGTCTCATTGTAATCGTGTCATCTTTTGCGATGTTTTTCGCAATCTTTTTTGCCCTTTTTGACATCCATGTCATTGGATCAGAATCTTTTAAAAGTGACCCTCGTCTTGAATTGTTTGACCTGTGCACTAAACGATCAATGTTATCTATTGCATCAACTACTGTTCTTACAATGGCTTTGGAAAAGTCTACAAGGGGCACTGCACTCGATGGCTCTGTTTCGACAAATGTCCTTACTCTCTCAGTAAACGAACTACTGAGGCGTCTTGCGAGTAGTATTCTGAATGTCTCTGTGTTCGAATCCTCAAAACCAAAGTCATAAGAACTAACAGAGGCATGTGACTGAGTTGAATCCTTCAGCTCGTTGGTTATACTCTCCATTTTCTCTCCAAGAGCGCTCATCTTTTCATATAATTTCGACCTCATCTTTTCCACAAAGTCTGACACAAAGTCCTGGGTTAAATCAGATTCGTCAAGGATGTCAATAATCCTCTGAATGATGACAGCATCTCTCTCTCTTTGTATCGTCTTATTGGAAGCATCTTCTCTGGAGGCCTGAAGGCCAGGAAGATCCTCAACGTCCCACTGTGAGGCGTTAAGGTGCCTCTTCATCTCTTGTGATTCCAAGTATTTCCTCAGCTTACCGGAAAATATCTGAGGGTCTCTCTGGAGTTCTTCTTTCAGGCTTGCAACAATACTGTCAGCTTCAGATTGAAGAGTGCCAAGTTTTTCAGTGGCGTGACCCAAAGTACTCCGCAGATCTCTCTCTGTTTGGTTGGTTTGTGTGACGATTGCTCTCAAGTAGAATGCACATTCCTTCACGATGTGTTTCAACCAACTGAAATATACAAAGATTCACATTTCTGTATGGGATGCAAATTATTCGTCTTCATGACAGCCATGACAATGTTTGAGAGTTTATGGAAACTGAAAATATGATTTGCTATTTTGAAAGTACGACAATGACATGATAAACACGTTTGTACTAAGTATAACTCGTGTTTGCGATTATCTCTAATTGAATATTTATAAGCGACATCGTCAGACATCCACGTGTATACTATCCCAGATTCAACACGAAAATATGGCTATTGGGAGCTCATGTTTTCAACGACCTTTCCTTAAAAGGCAATTAAGAATTGAAAAGAATAAACGAAATATCTTACCAATAAGAGTTTGTGATGTCAACCTGTTTGGCCAGCTGAAACAGCTCATCCAAACCTTGTAACAGTGTATTCAACTGGTCACTGTCCGGGGACTTAGAGGAAGAGAAACAAACTTGTTTGTCTTCGAGTTTTGGCCAAACGCCTCGGAGCTTGTTGAGAGCGTTTTCCTTGACCTTGGCTTTATCCTCATCGTCAATGAGGTCCCAACGGTTACAGACAAACATGGCTGCTTTCGGATTGAAGTAGTGACTCTCATCTTGGTGGTCATTTTTTATGTAGAGGACGCTTTTGAGGAACCGTATTAACTGTGAGAAAAGGGAAACCCTATTGAAATATACGACAGAGACAAAAATAAACCAGGGTTAGCAAATGAAAAGAAAATAGTTAAGTTTAGTAACAACTGGTGTCTGTTTTCACTCACATCTTATTAATGAGTTAGTAAGGTTTTACGCCGCTTGTAGCAAGATTCCATCACTGTGGGGACACCAGAAATGGGCTTCACACACTGACACCAAGTGGGGAATCGAAAAACCGGGCCTTGGGTGTGACGAGGGAACACTATACACAACACACCGCCCCTCTACAATTAACTTTAAATCGATCAATACGGATTTCCACCAAAAGGAAAGATAATATTGCTTTTTAATGTATTGAATTGGCACTGATTGATAGCTTCGACCCTCTGCATCACAACACGTTTGGGTTCCATGTAGTTGTCAAAATAACAAGTTCAGGAAAATAATTGTGTATATTTACCCGGTCCTCTTGAATCCCGCCACTGCTGTCTGTTTTGATGATGTAGATGAAAGCTGCGACGTGATTGGTTGAAACAAAGTTTCGCACCACCGTGTCCATGGCCTCGTTCTCCCCAAACCCAGGACTGTCGATGATGGTAACACCACACTGGAAAAACACATGTGCCACAAATGCAAACATGGATACAGTGGGGATATAGAGATTATTAACCTCGCGTGTTTCCGTATCATTAATATCATCTATTGGGAATAAAAATCCTAAAGGCTCGCATAATACATAATTTTTATTCCTGATATATGATATTAATGATACGGAAACACACGAGGTTAATAATGTGTTTATCATATAATGTCATTCTTAAAATTACTCTTAAAAAAGAAGCAAATTGTACGTGAATTTATATGAAGAAAATCGAGCATTCGCGTAAGAATACTTAGCGGTACACCAAGGTGAAGGTCGTTCATGACGGCGGCATATGGTTGTGACTAGTTCCTAATACAATGCAAACATAACTCTTGTTTCAAATAATATCTTTCTGTCCAAAAAGAACAACAAAATCAGGCAGGGTTTTCTTGGGAGTGTTTCTATTTTCATTGCGGATAATCAACTCATCAATATCAGTTTCTGATACCTGACGGAATCGATTCGTCGTCTGTATTGTGATCGATAGATCGTAATCCTTGGTTGGTACCTTTCTTAGACGATTGCCTGTCAGTCGTGCCTCATAATCCGTACCTTCAATTTGAACGAAGTACTCAGTTTCATGTTTTCCAAAGTCAATTACTGCAGTAACGACTCCAGAACCTCTGTCATCAATTCTTATATAATCTCCAATTTTGAGAATGGGGCCACCATATCTTTTTACAAACAATTTAAACTCGCGACGACGTCATCAATGAAATGTTAAAACGTTTAAGGATTCTCATGGCGTGTATGTAGTTTTGTGAAAGTAGTTCGTGGATTGACGTAATTTGATTAGTTATTAGATTTGGATACCAAGTTTATCAGATTGCTTTATTGCACCGAACACCCTCCATTAGATTATAAATATTATTATTTTCCTGTTATGAATTGAAAATATAATCTAAGTTTTGACGAGAGAGTACATTTGGCATAACCTCATATAACTCGATTTCGAAGATTTTTTGCTAGCTATATCTCACCTATATTGCTATATTGAACTATTCGGCTGTTTCAACGTAGGTATGAGATGAGACATGAAGTCAGTAGAGGTCGCAATAGAATAGTGAATCTAAATGTTGTTAATAGAGGCAGCAATCAATATTCCATCAAAGTCACTGCTGTCCATGAACACGATCGATAAAGGTAGATGGTGACATTAAGCCTCACTATTGCAAGCAACAAGTCCAGATCCCCAACTTATTCAGCTCTCAAGACACTGGTGTTATAGGTTATTAAGTCTTCAGAAACAAACAACGATGTACGGGGTAAAGGAAACACATCCGACCTGACAGGAATCAATGATCATCACTGATTAATAAAGACCGAAACCTCATTAATCCTGACCTCGTTAATTCACTAACCCCTTTTAACGGACAAATACATCAGCATACTTTTAAATACATACAAAAAATATCATAATACTCACTATGATTAATTATTTGAAAGTATTCGTTGTTCCGGGCACTTTAACTAAGATCGGTGAGGTACAGATCTACGAGGTTTTATTGTTGTTTTTTGAGAAAAATCTGTGGCATGTTTTGTGCAACTACCTTGAGAATATCAGCTGGCAGAAGGACATGGACTTCCTGGAAGGACGACCCAGCTTCTCTTGCCTCCTCCTGTTGAACGGCCACGGTTCCATCCAGGAAGGCTCTGGTCGCGTGGTGGTTCTCGAAGCTCCTCTGTTCTTGTCTACCGTCACCGTGGACGACTACCACCTGGTAGGTGGTGGAGTACCTCAGTTTGCAGATGCTGGATGTACAGCTCAGGATGCTCTTCGGCAGGATGTCTATCCCCAGGAGGAGGTTCAGCAGGGTGCTCTTCCCCGCGTTGGTTTGTCCTGGAAAAATATTCTCCTTGACATTAGCTGGGATTATCCGTCGACACGAATAAGTTTTCAAACATGAATAAATATTACTTTTTCCTTACATTAAAGTTCTTTTATGGAGTATTTAGGGAGGACATAGTTTGGACATTTTAGTGTTGTGTATGTTGGGTGAGACAGTGTTTCACTTGCATCTTTAAGTTGGAGGACATACGTGGTGGTGGTGGAATTAGGTTTAACGTCGTGCTTGAGAATATTTCGCTCATATGACGACGTGCATGCGTGTGTAAGTGTATGTGTGGCTGCTTGTACTAGCCCAGACTTAAGCTGGTTTTATAGTGCTAGCCCACTGAGATACCAAGCCGCAGTGAAGCATTAATACCCCACCCAGACACATTATACTGATTCCCAGTCGACCAGTCCTTGTTGTACCCATTAATGCCGAGCGCCAGGCAGGGACCAACAAGTACCATATTTTAACGTCTTTTTGGTATGACGCGGTCGGGGATCGAACCCGCGACCTTCCGCTCTCTGGGCGGATGCTCTAACCACTACACCACGGAGGCGGTCAGGACATACGTAGGATACGTAGGATACGTACGATTACGACTTTAGTGAGACATTAGCGCCAGGTATGGTGCTGACAGACATACATACAACAGTCAGATTTATCGGCGTGTAAGGGGTGTAACTCTGTATCGGGGCGAGTCTGATGACGGGGCAACAACATCCCAATACAGAATATTGTCACTTTGTCAGTTCACTTATTCAAAATAGACAGGATATTGTCATTTGAAAGAAGACGCTTTTATATTTATTTATTTGTCATTTATGAGCGGAGACAAAATCACATGTCGACTCTCACAATTCTATTGATATATCACTATTGCTTGAGTTGCAGGGAGGTGAGTGAGTGAGTTTATTTTACGCCGCTTTCGGCAATATTCCAGCAATATCACGGAGGGGAAAAATCAGAAATGGGCTTCTTATATTGTACCCATGAAGGGTATCGAACACGTCTTCGGCGTGACGAGCGAACGCTTTACCCACTAGGCTACCCACCCCTCCCTGTAAGGAGAAGGTAAGGAATTTTGAGAAAACATGCCCCACACAACGGGAAGACTGTACGTAGTTTAACTAACCTACCGGCAATAAGGACGTTGCACACCCCACTGCGTAAATCACGCATTCGCTTGAGGAAGTGCTGGGACAAGTCAGTATCTGAACCTTCTTGTCTGAAGATGTTGTTCAGATGGTTCAGACTATCGCACAGGCTGTTTGACACGCAGTTGATGATATTTATAAGGGCCTCTCGTTTTTGTTCATTTTCGGCTCTCATTTTTTCCAGTCTTTCGTCATTCTGTAACGCAGAATCATTTGTCTACGTACATACAAAGAAGAGAATAATTCTGTACAATGATAAAAGTTATGACTTGTTTTAAAAGACATTTGTAAATTTTAAATATCCAGAAAAGAAAACAAAATAGACACCACATTCCCATCCCCGGCTTAACCCCCCAAACAACAAAGAAATATTCTATTATCGAATCGATTATTGTTTTGAGAGATGTATTGTTCCCGATAGTTAATTATTCATCAACAGAGGAATTTATTCACATTCATCTGCAGTATCTTAAATACTGATTTCATTTCACAACGTTAACAGTTAAAATATCTTTTGAGTCCGGTGATGTGAAAGAAAGCGAAGCTGCCGGTTTTAACAACACACATCATTATCTTGTCACGTGTTGAGAATCAGGAAGTCTTCGGTGTCGGTTTTCTTTTCAAACATTTTAGACCAATTAAATCGTTAGATCATAAAGTAGATGAGTCATTTTCAGTGTCTTTCTCAAAAATACTCTCACTTCAAAGCCGGCTCATTATCAATTTAGATTGCCAAGTATCCTTGCTCTCTAACAGACCGTAAACCAGCAGCTCTTTGTGAAGGGGCCACAAATTTCATGCATAGTGTAACTCAGAAGAACAAGAATTTATACATGTTTGATTTATGTATGGGTTGCACAGTGTAGTCGTTCAGGTACCGAGGCACACAGATTAGTTATTCGTGGACATGTAAGCACATACTTGTAATACATGTACATACATTTAGCAGCTTTTAAAAATACACTCTCAATTTAATATAAATATGTAAATAATTGAGTTCAGACCATCCAGTGGTCAACATCATGAGCATCGATCTACGTTATTGGAAGCCTGACCACCCAGTGGTCAACATCATGAGCATCGATCTACGTTATTGGGAGCCAGGCCATCCAGTGGTCATCATCATGAGCATCGAGCTACGTTATTGGGAGCCAGACCATCCAGTGATCAACATCGATCTACGTTATTGGGAGTCTCACCATCCAGTGGTCAACATCATGAGCATCGATCTACGTTATTGGGAGTCACCATCCAGTGGTCAACATCATGAGCATCGATCTACGTTATTGGGAGCCAGACCATCCAGTGGTCAACATCATGAGCATCGATCTACGTTATTGGGAGCCAGACCATCCAGTGATCAACATCGATCTACGTTATTGGGAGTCTCACCATCCAGTGGTCAACATCATGAGCATCGATCTACGTTATTGGGAGTCTCACCATCCAGTGGTCAACATCATGAGCATCGATCTACGTTATTGGGAGCCACACCATCCGGTGGTCAACATCATGAGCATCGATCTACGTTATTGGGAGCCTGACCACCCAGTGGTCAACATCATGAGCATCGATCTACGTTATTGGGAGCCTTACCATCCAGTGGTCGACATCGTGAGCATCGATCTACGTTATTGGGAGCCTTACCACCCAGTGGTCAACATCATGAGCATCGATATACGTTATTTGGAGCCAGACCACCCAGTGGTCAACATCATGAGCATCGATCAACGTTATTGGGAGCCTGACCACCCAGTGGTCAACATCATTAGCATCGATCTACGTTATTGGGAGCCACACCATCCGGTGGTCAACATCATGAGCATCGATCTACGTTATTGGGAGCCAGACCACCCAGTGGTCAACATCATGAGCATCGATCTACGTTATTGGGAGCCTTACCATCCAGTGGTCGACATCGTGAGCATCGATCTACGTTATTGGGAGCCTGACCACCCAGTGGTCAACATCATGAGCATCGATCTACGTTATTTGGAGCCTGACCATCCAGTGGTCAACATCATGAGCATCGATCTACGTTATTGGGAGCCAGACCATCCAGTGATCAACATCGATCTACGTTATTGGGAGTCTCACCATCCAGTGGTCAACATCATGAGCATCGATCTACGTTATTGGGAGCCAGGCATCAGACATCGATCTACCAGTCTCACCATCCAGTGGTCAACATCATGAGCATCGATCTACGTTATTGGGAGTCTCACCATCCAGTGGTCAACATCATGAGCATCGATCTACGTTATTGGGAGCCAGACCATCCAGTGGTCAACATCATGAGCATCGATCTACGTTATTGGGAGCCTGACCATCCAGTGGTCAACATCATGAGCATCGATCTACGTTATTGGGAGCCACACCATCCAGTGGTCAACATCATGAGCATCGATCTACGTTATTGGGAGCCTTACCATCCAGTGGTCAACATCATGAGCATCGATCTACGTTATTGGGAGCCTTACCATCCAGTGGTCAACATCATGAGCATCGATCTACGTTATTGGGAGCCTGACCATCCAGTGGTCAACATCATGAGCATCGATCTACGTTATTGGGAGCCTGACCATCCAGTGGTCAAGTGGTCGATCTACATTGGGAGCCAGACCATCCATCGATCTACGTTATTGGGAGCCAGACCATCCGGTGGTCAACACCACAAGCATCGATCTACGTTATTGGGAGCCTGACCATCCAGTGGTCAACATCATGAGCATCGATCTACGTTATTGGGAGTCTGACCATCCGATCCCGTTAGTCGCCTCTTACGAACAGCATGGGTTGTTGTAGACCGGTTTTAACCTGTGACGAACATGTGAGTAACATCGTTCAATCAAACATAACTGCTTTTGCATTGAATCAACAAAACCAACAGTTTCCATATTTCCAAAGGGTATTCCTTCAAAAATAATTTAAAAGTATTAAACATTAACATACATTACAGAATAGGCAAAGTAGATTCATGTCATCGTGATACGGTGATACACTAGACAACTCAGACTTCTACAGAAACCCGAATTTAACAGATTACGTTTGGCCCAAGAATAGCCCCTAGGATCGTACTGAACACAAGCGAGATGTCGAAATACAGAAATGACCCATCATGAAGATATGTTATTAAAATGACATTTTGTGTTCATGATGTAACTATGAGCGTAAACTCTGTTATAGTGAGATATTTAAATTATGCAAGCATGTAGGAACATCGCCAGGGGTTTTACATCAGGCGAGAAAATAACAAAAGATAATGTAAATTTTCCGCAGCAAGATTCAGACTTCACGTATGTGAGACGTCATACTTTGTATGGGACTGGCGACGTGCTGGTGATCTACCTTTATGTCATTCTCTGATGTTTAAATTGACGACGAAGACGACCCTTGAAACTAAGCAACACCGCCGCCATACGTGGGTACTTCATATTTTCTCGTTTACCACATATCTAGTTTTTTCAACAAACTGCCACCAGAACAGATGATTATGATGTAACCGGAATCGAGCAATAGCCGCACAGGACTCCTCTTTCAGCAGAGATTTTTCTTGTGAGTGACGGGTGCTACCGGTAAGGCAGGACATACTTACCTCTCGCTAACACCGGGTGTCGTCACTGTTTTTCTGTGAGGCATTATCATCTCTATTTTACTCCCATTGCACTGTGAGGCATTATCGTCTCTATTTTACTCCCATTGAACTGTGAGGCATTATTGTCCCTATTTTACTCCCATTGCACTGTGAGGCATTATCATCCCTATTTCACTCCCATTGCACTGTGAGGCATTATCATTCCCTATTTTACTCCCATTGCACTGTGAGGCATTATCGTCCCTATTTTACTCCCATTGCACTGTGAGGGATTATCATCCCTATTTCACTCCCATTGCACTGTGAGGCATTATCGTCCCTATTTCACTCCCATTGCACTGTGGTGCATTATCGTCCCTATTTTACTCCCATTGCAACTGTGAGGCATTATCGTCCCTATTTTACTCCCATTGCACTGTGAGGCATTATCGTCCCTATTTTACTCCCATTGCACTGTGAGGCATTATCATTCCTATTTCACTCCCATTAAACTGTGAGGCATTATCGTCCCTATTTTACTTCAATTGCACTGTGAGGCATTATCGTCCCTATTTTACTCCCATTGCACTGTAAGGCATTATCGTCCCTATTTTACTCCCATTGCACTGTGAGGCATTATCGTCCCTATTTTACTCCCATTGCACTGTGAGGCATTATCGTCCCTATTTTACTTCCCATTGCACTGTGAGGCATTATCGTCCCTATTTTACTTGAATTGCACACTGAGGCATTATCGTCCCTATTTTACTTCCATTGCACTGTGAGGCATTATCGTCCCTATTTCACTCCCATTGCACTGTGAGGCATTATCGTCCCTATTTTACTCCCATTGCACTGTGAGGCATTATCGTCCCTATTTTACTTCCATTGCACTGTGAGGCATTATCGTCCCTATTTTACTTCCATTGCACTCTGAGGCATTATCGTCATTATTTTACTCCATTGCACTGTGAGGCATTATCGTCCCTATTTTACTCCCATTGCACTGTGAGGCATTATCGTCCCTATTTTACTCCCATTGCACTGTGAGGCATTATCGTCCCTATTTTACTCCCATTGCACTGTGAGGCATTATCATCCCTATTTCACTCCCATTGCACTCTGAGGCATTATCGTCCCTATTTTACTCCCATTGCACTGTGGGGCATTATCGTCCCTATTTTGTCTCCCATTGCACTGTGAGGCATTATCGTCCCTATTTTACTCCCATTGCACTGTGAGGCATTATCATCCCTATTTTACTCCCATTGCACTGTGAGGCATTATCGTCCCTATTTTACTCCCATTGCACTGTGAGGCATTATCGTCCCTATTTTACTCCCATTGCACTGTGAGGCATTATCATCCCTATTTTACTTCCCATTGCACTGTGAGGCATTATCGTCCCTATTTTACTCCCATTGCACTGTGAGGCATTATCGTCCCTATTTTACTCCCCATTGCACTGTGAGGCATTATCGTCCCTATTTTACTTCCATTGCACTGTGAGGCATTATCGTCCCTATTTTACTCCCATTGCACTGTGAGGCATTATCGTCCCTATTTTACTCCCATTGCACTGTGAGGCATTATCGTCCCTATTTTACTCCCATTGCACTGTG